GTTCTGGCTCAAAATAGTATACCATATGACCACACTGCTGGTTTCATTGGCCTAAGAAGAAATGGGAAGGGATTCTTGGGCAGCTAAGATATCCACAATTATACCCAAGCTGAGTTATTTCCCAGCCTTCCACCACAGGAGAAGATATGAGGCTGCCCAAGAAGAGAGTATTAAAAGACTATATGACAGTGACATCCAGACTACCATGGCATCCATAGTAACTGCAACTCCAGTAGGATACACAAAGACTTTTTCTTGCCTTTCAGAAAGGTGCTCTCATATTTGTACCTCATTAGCTCGCATGATATGAGGCAACTGCTAACTAGATGCAGCTTGAACTTGTTGCAGTTGGAAGAGATTCAGGCTAAATTGACCAACACGGCAAAAGTAGATATTTCCCAGCAGGATGCTGTAAGATGGAGGACATGGTACATGTTATAACAGAATGCCCTCTGTATGGAGATTGGAGGCATCAATACAGTGGTGCCTTGACTTACGAACTTAATCTGTAATGGAATGGTGTTCGTCAGTCAAAATGTTTGTAAGTCAAAGTGCCATTTCCCATTGAAATGCATGGGAACATGATTAATCCGTTTCAGCATTCCAAAAAAACAAAAAATCAAAAAAACCAAAAATAAAAATAAAGAGAGCAAGTCCCACACTGGGACTGCAAAAAAACCCCCAAAAAACAAAAAAACAAAAAAACCAACAACAGAATTCCAAAAGCAAAACTAAACAGCACAGAAACTTCCACTGCTGCAGTGCCCTCTGTAGCTGCCCAGCCCAGGCTCTGCTGCTGCTGCCCGGTCCGGTCTCCAGCCACCGCTGCCCGGCCAGGATGGGTCCTCGTTTCCCAGCTGGGCTCTTGCTCCTGGCGCAGGGTCCGTCCACGCTCTTTGCTTCCTAGCTGGGCTCTTGGAGGCAGAGCCCAGCTGAGAAGTGATCAGCACGGACGGACCCCACGCCGGGAGGCAGGAGCCCTGGAAATTCAAATGGCCTCCTGGCCAGGCTCCTGCCTCCTAGTGTGGGGGTCTGTCCGTGCTGCTTGCTTCCCAGCCAGGCTCTGGAAGGCAGAACCCAGCTGGGAAGCGAGCAGTGGGGATGGACCCCGCAACAGGATGCAGGAGCTCGGGAAATTCAAATGGCCTTCCAACCAGTCTCCTGCCTCCTGGCATGAGGTCTATCCCCACTGCTTGCCTCCTGGCCAGGTTCTGGGAGGCAGAGCCCACCTGGGAAGTGAGCAGTGGGGACGGACCCCACACCAGGTGGCAGGAACCCGGGAAATTCAAATGGCCTCCCAGCCAGGCTCACGTCTCCTGACGCTAGGCCACCCTGACGCATCCCTTTCCCAAACTGTTGGGGTGAAAGAGCTATAAAGAAGCAGCCTCTTCACCACCAACGGTTTGAATTTCCCGCCCCTTTCCCCTGCCTTTTTTGTTTGTAGGTCAAAGCTCCATTTGCAAGTCAAAGCAAAATTTTGTGAACGGAGCTGTTCGTAAGTCAAAATGTTCGTAGGTCAAGGCGTTCGTAAGTCAAGGCACTATGATATCTTAAACCCTTAACAGGAGGGACTAAGAACAACTCCCCTTTAGGTACAGTTATTTTCCTCCTAGCCGGCACAGGCTACTATACCTCCTATAGAACTGCTAGATTCCATCAACAAACCATGGAAAGATGCAACTCACTGCCTGTTCCACAATTTCTTCAAATTGGATTGTTGTGCTCTATTGCTTTCAAATGTTTTTACTATTGATTTTATTTACTGTTTTCAAAATTATACTTGTTTAGTTCTTTTTAAATATTTGTGTACTTATTGTTTTTAGCTTTTAAATATTGTCCTTTTAAAGTTGCGAGTTGCCTTGGATCCTTTTAAAGAGAAATGTGGAATAACAAAATTTTAAATAAATAAATAAAATAATCTCTGCAAGTTAATCTTACATCTTGTTTCCTGTTTGCAAACAGTTGCAAACAGTTGTAAAGCAATAAAACAGTTGTAAAGCAATAAAATAAGTGAGTAAGCAAGCAAGTGCTTTTGTATTCAACTAAAACTCAGTTTTCATTTCTGTATTGAGAGTAAAATCCTGATGGTGTGTAAAATCTTGGTGTTATACTATTTTGCAGCGGACTGGGTGGGTTTTGGCTTGAGTAGTTTCTGATCTGCCTCACTTTATCAAGCTCATCCTTTGTCCCATGTTATCTCCTGCACACACAGAAGATAATAATAACTAGCCTGAATCGCCGCCACGTAAGGCCTCATGCTTTGGTCTGCCCTTTGGCTTCCAGACTCTATGCCTGCAACTAAGCCCTTGTTAGACCTGGTCCCATCCTGATGCTGCCACAGAGGCAAATTCAGTAATTTGTCTTTACTCACCAGATGCATCCAAACTCAACAAATTCAAAACACAAACTGAACATATGTAATGGAATCTCTCCAGATTTTGCATTTTCATTGTTTCAACTGGTAAGAAGCATTTCACGGTTTACATCCTTTTCCATTCAATCATCTTCTGGGACATGTTAAAGCATTTCCTATGATAATGCAGCCACCTAGCAGACCATGAGATGGGGCTGTGCTGCCTTTTGCGATGGCAGAAAGGCACCAGTATAAGGACAGTGTTATGGAAGCACTGATAATCAACTACAAGTCTGATTTTACTGAAAGGGATAGTGGTGTTTGTTCTCTAAATAATAATTATTGCTTCATCCCAATGTTTTATGTACAGTACTTGATTGGGAATTTAATAATTTGATACAACTAGATGGGAAATATTCCCCACAATATGTATTAATGTTCCTAGACTTTAAAATCATCAAAATAATTTTGGAATTATTTCATGATGACCCTCAGGAGTAGCAAACAATATTAATCTGCCTGGTTTGTGCAGAAGGGTGGTATGAGCCTGACAAGGAAAAGAGAAAGAGGAAAATAAGCTCCAAAGTGAAAGGTACTATATCTTAGAGCTAAACTGAAGCACCTGCTGTGCTCCAAGCTGTGTGAAGATGGCCAGTGAAGTGGGCTAACAAACACAGTATGGGCTTGTCCAGACTGGCCATTCTGGGTGTGGGATAGATCGGGCTACAAAAGGTCTCTTTAGGTTGTGGATTGGAGGGAGAAACAATGAGCCGTTGGGCAGGTTCCTCTCCTCTGAAGAGCAAACCACCCCTTGTAGCCTGATCTGTCAATTTAAGCCCTTTCCCAATTGTGTGCAGAAGGTCAGGGGAAGTAAAATTATTTATTTCTATCACTCTGTTCTCCCTTTCTTGGCAATTTTTGAGCCTTGGAGAAAACCAAGTGCCTTGGGGAACTGAGGACATGAAGGAATGAGAGCCACTGAAGGAAACGTATCAGTAGAAGGGGCAGAGGCTTGATGGGGGGGGTGGCTCTTGTGCAGCTGGATTCATTTATTTGAGAACGTTTCCTTGTCCTTCTTCACACACTTCTTTCAGCCTTCCCTCTAGGGCAGGGGGGGGGGAAGCACACTGTTTCATTGAAGAAACCCACTTCTAGTGAAATCAAAACACACAGCATCTCTTTCATATAGATATACAGAGAAGGAAACAATGAAAATTAGGAGCAAGACCAGAGAGAGAGAGTCCTGTTTTCTCCCTTCCCCCATCCCTCTTCCCTTCCCTTGCTTTCCCCCCACTTTCTCTCTCAGAAAAACACAGATTCTGCATCTGGTACCAGCTGATATCTCCCAGACTAAACGAGCAAGCCAAAATGATTGCATGCCCTACTGCTGGGCCAGAAAGGTGTGTGATAACTCTTGAAGGGGAAGGATGGAATTTGTCCGCCGGGCATGAGAGTTATACAAAAATAAGATACCTGTGACGGACAGAAGGGAGAATGGGTGGGTAGTGTGAATTCACAGAGGTCCACTCGAAGAACCATGGTTACAGGTAAGTAACCTTTCTTTTGTCTTCGTGGCCTCTGTGAATACACACATATGGGTTTAGTCTGCACCTGCGCTGATGTTCTCGGAGCATTCCACAGCTAAAAGTAACAATTTTATGGGATGATCCCCCATGAGGCACATGCTCCTCCCACCCAAGATTCCCCTCAGTTCCTTTTTTCCACCATGCTGTAAAGTTCTACAGAGTCATAGAGCTATTTCCACAGGGTTTTTCCCTTAGCTTATTGATCTATTCCCTCTAAATTGGATTCTTTCTCTTCTCAATTATCTAATCTATGATCCCCCGTGAGTTGTTTTCTTTTTCGCTTGCCAGCTATTTGGCTTACCCCCCCCACACACACACACACATTTCAACTGTTTACTTCTTTCTCCTTTCCCACCTTTTTCGGCCTCCTCATTTTGACTCTCGGGCACATTAATGATTTTCTGCCTGAGTAAGCTACATCTTACCCAGATAGGTGCAGCCTTTACCTCGCTTTTTTGACTACTTCAACTGTCTAGTCACCTGAAAAATAGAGCGGGTGACACTCCCGGTTTCCTCTCACATAGCTTCCCCCCGATCCAGTAGGGGACCTGACAATGCCAAGGAGTCCTTAAAATCTAAGTCTACATCAACAGAGGAATCCTCGCCAGAGGCTAGCGAATTTGCCTCTGAGGAGACGATGTGCCAGCTCTACCTGCACAGACTCCGGGATTGCCTGATAGCCTCTCTCCTCCAACTGGCCATTCAGTGACTGCGCTACCGTCCAGTTTATGATTTCCATTTTTCCAAGGGGTGGATGGAACCTCTTAAAGAGAGAAAGAGCAAAGAGGCATAAAAGGATTATCTGATGAACTTTGCTTGCTCAGCCAACAAAGTGGCACAAGATCTTTACTTACTCAAATACGTCCTTAGGGAACAAGATACTTTGTTGCGTCATTAGGAATTGTATCCTCCAGAGATTTGCATTTCTTTCTCTGTAGCATTATGTAGCTATTTTAAAAGCTCCAAGCACGGGAATTTTTTCTGCTGGACATCAGGCAGAAGCCAAGAGTAATCACCAGCAAAGACTCCTTTTCTGACGCCTCTCCCAAAAAGGGACTATAATGGTTGCTGAGATCATGCATCAATATGTTATCGTTACCTGGGTGATTGTAGCAATATTATGCAGTTTTGCTCTTTTAGGAAATGGATTTATCATAGTCGTGAAGGGGTATCAATGGTTCCAACAAAGGAAGATGATTCCTTCTGATTTCCTTTTGACCTGTTTGAGCAGCTCCCGGGTTCTCGCACTGTTGACTGGTGAACTGGCCTTTTTTCTAGGAATTGCCACTTCAGAGACATATAAACATACTCGTACAGAGGAATTTCTAAACTTTAGTTCATTCTTTTTTGACATCAACAGCATCTGGTGTGCCACGTGGCTGAGTGTTCTCTATTGTGTGAAGGTCACCAACTTTGCCAATCCCTTCTTACTCTGGCTGAAGCCAAGAATCAACCTGCTGGCACCTAGATTGCTTGGGATTTCAGTAATTGTTTCCATGGTTGTCTCTGTTCCTTCATTTATCAGATATTCTGGATACAAAAGGCGGTGCAATCTGACAGGAGATCTGCCAATGAACACCAGCGAAAGGATGATTTGCAACAATTTATTCTCTCTTTTTCGACCTGTGCGGTTCGGCCTGGTTTCCATAAATTTCAGCCTAAGCGCTGTCTCAACCATTCTTTTACTTACCTCCCTGTGGAGGCACATAACAAATCTGAGAAAGACTGGTGCTGGTATGAAGGATGTCAGCACTCAAGTCCACATCAACGTCATGAAGCCTCTGGTGTTCTTTCTCTTCTGCTACCTTTCCTATTTCATGGGTATGGCTACTTATTCAGTTGCGCATTTCAGGCAGGACACTCTTGGAGAATGGATTGCTGACGTATTGGTGTCCTCCTTTCCTTTGGCACACACCATAATGTTAATATTGAGTAATGCAAGACTGAAAAAAGTGGCTGTTCGCATGCTGAATATCAGACGAAGAGCTTCATAAATGAGAGACAGAAAGAGCAGACATCCAGCGGTTACGTCCAAGGAGGGGCAATATTTCCCCCTTTTGTTGCATTCAGTAGATATTGAAAATATTAAATGGCAATTACAATGGTGAT